CTCTCTGTTATTTATTTATTTTTTGTGGGTTTCATGCTGTCCGCTAAGGCATAGGACACACACAGGCTTTCCTCACCAACGACATTAAACACCGTGTCTACACTGGAGGCGAGTGCCAAAATACAGTAGAACCATTATAATCAGTGACGCTGTGTACACTGGATGCGGAGCGACATTAAACGGATGCCTTGTTCTATTTATGACGTACTGACAAAGTTCAAATGATTTGCAACGGTCGCTTTGTCGTGTCTAGTGTAGGTCTTTACTCTCGCGTGTCACGTGACCGTGTAATCGCAGCCTCTGCGATGGAAAAATCGCGTTATTTCATATCGCGATATTATCGCAAATGCAGTTAATCGTTCAGCCCTACTTTCAACCCAAAAATACTGTTTTAGTAGTTGATCAAGGGACATTGGACAATCATAGTTACTGGTTTTAACGTTGCCAGGTTGACCACAAAGATCCCACTGAAGTATTATTCAATCATAAATGCCATTTTGACCGTTTTATTGCATTTGCAGGAGAATGTGGGCCCTGTTGTTTTTCTTTCTTCACAGTTATTAATTAGAAAAGCACTTTCTTGTTTTTCGTCAATCTGTTGAGCATGTTTTATTTTTTCGCGCTCACAACTCTGTTGGCCTCTGCTGCTGCTTTTGACACCTTTCTTGATGACTGTGTGATGTTATTTTCTGCTTGTACTGTGAAGTATAGTGCTTTTGATTGTGAAAAAAAAACAGTCGATAAATAAACAAAGATTAAAAATTAGTAAATAAAAATAACTAAATGCATTATTTTGGAGTGGCAGAGTACAGAGGGTTGCCAGATGTTCAGAGGCTTGCACTCCTCCCGGCCCATCACTCAGAGAGTTCTCGGCTCATTGACTTTCTCAGCTCGTGTGTTTGCTAGAGAAAGCTGTTTAGGCTATTTCATTCGTGAACACTCATTAAAATGGTTTGTGTTCCCCTTGGCAATTCTGTTAAATTAACAGCTAGCTTCAGTTCAGGCCTGATTATGAGGCCACACAGCCAGTCTTGATTAATCAATTTCTCCCACAAAATGTTCCTTTGTAAATTAGTGTTAAAGTAACGATTTATAGGTCTTAATGCCGAGCCGCTGTCATGTCGAAGCTGGTGTTTTAGCGGGAGGTGGTGTCACTTTTGGCGTAATCAGCAGCTTTTCTGCCCCCCTTGTCGTTTTCCCCCTCTCCGTTCGTCACCGTACGCTACATCCTATTAATGAGTCCATAATAGAGAAACAGTGTCGGGACAGCCACATAAAACACACTCAGGAATACATAATTAGACCTGTGTTCAAGCCACGCTAGGGGCAGATTTATATCCGGTGATGTAAAAAGAAAGAAAAAATAAAACAAAATAAGGAGGCAGTACAGTGCAGCTCATGACTTCTGATTCCTGAAATCCGAAAAGATGGAAAAACAGGCGAGGGACGGTGGGAGTGTTAGAAAAAATATTGCCACAGTTGATAATGATACCATTACACTAATGGAGGCAGCAAATGAAGTAGCATGCGGACACTGTGCTTTATTGCCATAGGGGGTCGTTTTCTGCTGCA